CCCCCCCCCCCCACCATCCGTTTGCTTTGGTTTCTCAGCATGCCTGCCTCATTCCCAGGAGGCTGTGGGACTGAGGCGCCGGTTCTCCCACAAATGTCACATTAACATCGCCCGAAACACTGGATGAGGTTAACACGTGAAATGAATGTCATGGCAACATTGATCTGGCGTGAGCTCCGCAGGCTGAAGCCCAAATCATTTTTTGTGATCTTACTTTCTTAACGATCATAGTCGGATCATTAGTGATATTGATTGAGGATTAAAGCACATATTTTAGTGCCTTTACACTAAATGAAATGTCCGGCTGAGGATGACTTTGATTGACACGGAGTCAAGGAGCTAGTGGTGTGATTACCAGTTATCGACCCTTTGGCCGTTCATCTCCATCAAATAGAGCTCGACATCCACCAGTTTCATCTCAAGGTCCCTAACCGCATGGATCCATTTTCTGATGAGAACATGCTCAGTATGCACATGTAGCACAAAAGACTTCAAGGTAATCAGTTAACGAGCAAAAAGGACACTTGTGAAATTAAGTACGAGTGAGTGTGTTTGACATAAAGTGGGAGGAAAGAGGGATAAGTGGGAGGAGTGTAGAGTAAAGTGGCAGTTGGCGCTCCTTCATTCACATTGCAATTTTGAAGAAAATCAATTTGTGGGGAACAAAGCTGAGGGAGGAGGAGCGAAGCACAACTGAAGCGAAAAGAGGGGAATTTGGAGAAATAGGTTCACTCCAGTTAAAGTAATCTTTGATGGGAAAAGAAATTGAAAAGACTATCACATAAGCCAAAAGTTGGAGTTGCTGCAAATACAGTAGTAAAAAAAAAGAAGTTTTTAATGTAGCTCTGACTGGAGATTGAAGATAATCTTACCTGGGTTTTAGTAGTTTGGGCCAAAATTCATGTTGGCTCTGAGTTATTCACCAATTATATTTTAAAACACTCTCGTTATAGAGCTTAGGGTTGGCGTCCCCCCTCTTATGGGGGAACACCTTCTAAATTAAGAATTCCAATATATGATTTCCATGGCCAAGGAAAGTTCAATCGATATTTGTGAACATGAGCTACTCTGTCTTAAAGCCATAAACTAGAGAAGTAAGTCTCAAACTTGTGATGTTATAGTGTTTATTAATGTTTTTGCCAAAATGAGCTTTATTCTGTCGTAGTGTTCTCAATTCTCAAACAGAAAATGTACCCATATACTCAGAACATTTCCTGAGGTGCTCTCAGTGTCATCTAGAACATTGTTACCTATTCACTGTCTTTGTAACAGCACCAGACTTTATACTCTATCATTTGGAAGACGACGATGCGAGACGTTAAATACCATTTTGACCTTTCAGCCATGTTGGGACTCTTAATTAGACAGATGGAGGCAAAGCTTTGCCAGCAGCAGCAGCAGCAGCAGCATTGGTGAGTGTGAGTACTGGTGTCGCAGAGATCAGCGGGTAGGAAGTCATATTAAAATGAGCCGCCTTGTCGTGAGGATGGGCTGTGATTGGTGCGTGACTGATTATAAAACAATGACTCAATCAATCACCTATAGAAACTTTCTAGGTCCATATATATCGTTACTGAAAGCGTTTCAGTTATACCTATATTATACCATCATGACAGGTGGCGTCCTGCTCACTAGGAGCATATCATAACACTGCGAAAGGTTATGTCCAGCTGTGTTACAAACTGATACCTGCCTGAAGGCATATCATACCGCCGTGAAAGGTTGCTTTTGGCGTCAGGTGTCTACTGCCAAAATCAGTGACAAAGCAGTGGTATTTGACGACTCTGGAATGAGAATGGAGATTTAGCCAAAACTTCACCTACTTGTGAAGTCAAGGGTCAGGTCATAAGACACCGGGGATTTAGAAGTTTCAGTTAATACCAGTGATTTGATCACCAACCTTGCCAACCCTCCCATTTTTCCCAGGGGACGCCTGTTTTTGATTGTCCTCTCCCGGTTTCCCCCTGAGGTCACAACTCTCACGTATTTCTTCCAATTTATCTCAGATGATCACATCTTTTTTCTTTTTTGTTATGACAACCTGTTTCTGACACTGTGTGGCGTATATAAGCCCTACAACTCTAAAAGAGCAGCCAACTGTTTCCTCCCCGTTGGCCCTTCCTCCTCACTCCCTCCTTCTCTATCCCTTTGGGGTCTGGAGAGGGGCATCAGTCAGGCCCGCGTTAGTCTGCTGCTGCTGCTGCTGCTGCTGGGGGACACATGTCTCTGTGCCGACCGCTTTATGTGTGCAAGTCTGACGGGAAGCTCTAGTGGGGGTTTGAGAGGTGCATCAGGAGCTGGGGAGCCTCCTGTTCTATCAGTCAATCAATTCTATTCATGAAGCCCAGTATCACAAATCACAATTTGCCTCAGAGGGCTTTACAGCATACGACATCCCTCTGTCCTTTGGGCCCTCACAGTGGATGAGGAAAAACTGTTCTGCCTCGTTTAGGCATCCAGGACCTAGGGGTGTGTGGGCCAGGAATGACAGCCGGCAGTGGGTCCCTGGCGCGGGCCCAGCCTACAGCATGACCTCCCTCCCTCCTCCCCCTGGTTCTCCGCTAAAGTGCCAGGGGCATGAACCAAAAACTAAACCAATTTGAATGTAATCAACATGATTATTGGCTTCTTTTTTTTCCCCCCACTGAAATTAGGGAGTGAAATTTGCAAACATACTCACAGATTGGGAGCATTTTATTATGAGCATTCAGTGTTTTGAATCTTTTTGTGATGGTGGGGGGTAGAGGCCATCAACAGCTGATCATCAACAATCAGCTGTTGATGCAGTTTGCTGCAGTGCTGAAGGACCGTCTCCTGCAGCTCGGTACTTGTTAGCATGAGCTAACACAGCACAACGTGATCTCATCCCTAACGTTAATCGTCATGTTTTGCTGCTTAGGCAGAAGCCCCACAGCAGCAGCTAACATCCAACACCAGGCTGTTAATCTCACACTGACACCAAAATGGTGACTCTGTTGTTTAACACGTTAATACTAGGGTTGGGAATCTCTCTGTGATAGACGATTCGATACGTATCTAGATACACGGGTTACGATACGATTCAAAAACGATATATTTTTAATACAGAACGATTCGATACGATTCAATACAGTGTAGGAACGCTACGATTCGATACGATTTGATACGATTCTATGGTTAACATTTGTTGATGTAGACATTAATCGTATATTATAAAATAAAGAAGGCAATTCTATAAAAGTGACATTCTTACAGTATTTTCAAATTTGTAAAAGACCACATCCCCAAACATTGTTGCTGTATGGCACTGGCAAAAATAAAATAAAAAGACAAACAACAATAAAATCACACATTGTCTGTGTTTTTGTATGTATCTTATATGGACTTGAGTCTGGAATAAAGTTTATCATAATGCTGTACAATATAAACATAAAACAGAATAAAATAATAACATGCAATGTAGGGGCAGAATCTGACATCTCCTGTTATTAGTTGATATCATGGACTGTGATGACTAGCAGCTTATCACTGACAGCATGTCAGACTATTTCTCTGTGTTTGTCATTTATAAAAAGATAAATCACTTTTCTATAATACATCAATGATATTTCAATGGAATAAATTACTTATTGACTTATTCATACTTCAAAAACAGCATCAATAAGTGATTAACATAGGGGAGGATCAAAATAAAATAAATAAATAAAATAAAAATCAACCAGCCACCCTCCTCCCCTGACAAGTAAAGAACAGTCCCTAAAGTGCACTGAGGTTTGTGGAAATGTGAACGGCTCGTTTCTCCTCTGACACGTCACATACCTGTGTGCTGGTGCTGCCACAGCTCGGCTGTTCAGGTATTTTTGGGCAGTCATGACACCGACGAAGACTTCTTGGACCTGGAGCCGGGCTTCTCGGTCGCCGGTAAGCCGTTATCTTGCGCCCCGGAGCACTATGGCCGCCATATTTGACAGGAATACGTATTTCTGTCTGTGTCTGTGACCCCCCCGTTCAACCCACAACCGGCAGGATTCGCCTTTAGTTTCTGCTGCGGCTTGGCTGCTCCCTGGTTTATCCAACCAGCATTAGCTTCTGTTCCTCAGCTCCACCGGTCAAGCTGGCGCTGATGTTTACATCCATTATCGTTGTCAGTAATGCCTGCTACGGAGCATGCCACTGGATCTCGCGTTGTTTTAGAGATGCAAACTGTTAAAGCCAGTCAACCGATTGATAGTCTCGCGATACCCAATCCATGACTCTACAATCGATTCATCTAAGGATTCATGGCTGATTCATATCGAATGAGGAGGCTACTACCGACGCAGCCGTATCTCTCGCTTGTCAAACCGGATATCCGGTCATATCGGTTAATCGCTCCCAACCCTTGTTAATAACAGTTGGGTAACGCCATGTGATGTTAACAGTAAGCCTTGTTACTGTGTGTGTGTGTGTGAGCCTGTCTCTGAGCGAATCAATATGCTGCATGCAGCTCTACAATGAAATTAAATTTTGACTGCCCAGTCTCGGAATGAGACTGGGCAGTCAAAATCCGGTGCTTGTGTAGTGACTTGCGGTGTCAGAAACCAACAAAAAATGGCGCCCTTTAATGTCAGCATGGTACGCGGCTGGTTGCCTTCATATTTCAGCAACACCTGGCCATGACGGGGAAACGTGGCAGGACAAGGACGAAAATTAAGGCAGCGAAAGTCCGAGAAGGGCGGGCGGTGTTGCGGATGGATCTTTTTTCCTAAACCTAACCACTTCCTTTTGTTGCCTAAACCCAACCATGTGCGTTTGTTGTTCAATTCACAGTGTTGCACCAACTTACTTCATTTATTTGGAATGAGACTGTATGTAAATGTTAAATTTCATGTGTGACAATGCATGTAACAGGCAGAACTTGACTCGGTGTCCCAGAACGTCAACAACCAACGCACCCAGGGTACCTTGTACATCGTATATGGATGTGGAAAGTCCATGACCAAAACGTCAATATGTGACGAGGTCGGAGTGAGAATGTGTTGTTCTAATTTGTGGTAATTTTGAGGTGTCTGGATAAAAATGCAAGGTTGCGCAGAATTCACAGGGATTGGCTGAATTTGCGTTAATTGTTACGATCATTGTCTGATTAAAAGTCACGAGAATGCAGGACATCAAGTCTCTGAGATTTTTCTGGGAGAGGATCCTCAGACAACTTTGGATTTGAAATCCTTCCTATTTTTGAGGTCTCAAGGTTGGAAGGTACGCTGATCACTCCTAATGGACTTGGCTTGTTGAGTCGACCTGTCCACACATCTCAGCACTGAAGCTGATTAAATGTTATGATAACCGATTTGAAAAATAGCCCAAACTATGAAACCCTGATTTTCAGCTGCCAGTTTTTGTTTTAACAGTCGCTATGGTGAGAGAAAGAGCAATGACACACTTGCAGTCAACCCCCCGAAGTGTCTCAGACGTTTGAGTGTTGAACAAGAGTTTGGAGGGCACGACTTTATCAGCTGCAAGAGACACATCCGACATTCATCAGATTTAAAGCCTTATCCATTAAAACAAGGTCTGATGTGTCTGATATCTCCGGGCAGGTATTAACAGAAATCTGCCCTTTGGCACAGCTCCATCCTCGCAAGATAGATGAACACTGCTAATGCCCCAAGGTGTCTGCAGAATGGATGTGCATTGATCTCAATGTGCTGTTTCTGTGGGCAATATAGAGCGTGGTGTGTGTGTGTGTGTGTGTGTGTGTGTGTGTGTGTATGTGTGTTAACATTTATGGTTTGTTACCGGGCAGGACTCGGGCAGCACTGAGACAGAGTTGATGTACGTGACTGTGTTTCAGTGTAAAATATTACTGAATTGCCATCAGCCAGCAGCAGAATGAGCCGAGCTGAAATGTGTCACCGTGGCCCTGAGACCAAATTCACTGCTGCATCATGGGACTGAAAACCTTGGATGAGGGACAACAAACCGAAGGGAAGGACAGATGATTTTCCTGTCCTCTCTGTCTCTCTCTCTCTCAGTCTCTCCAAAAGCTAAAGGGTTAAAGAGCTGTTCAGTTACATTCATTATATTCATCCAGATAATGGCTAACAGTAAGTCACCAAAGACCATTAATAGTTAATAGAGGACTATCTACTAATAGCAGAAATTTCCTCTTCCTAATATTGGAAATGTGATTAATGACATCTTGGCTCTGACCCCAAGTCATATTTTTTGTCTTGTATTTTTGCCAAGCTACAATAACAGTCAAGTCTACCATTAATAAATATTTAACCAACAATAAGCAGAGTCTACTCATCCTACGACAATCTGTGGTCTAACTTCCATAGCGAGCGCCGACTTGTAGGTGACCTGCACTGCTAGGATGAACGTGGCACACATACAAGGAAAGTCAAGGAGGGCTGTTCGTTCTTAAAAAAAAAAAGCCCATATTAACATGCCTTTGAGACTCCCCTGCATATTAAAGTTTAAATGACAGCGCTGTTTTAACATTGCTTGAGAGACAGCCAGAACCGTCGGTGGCTCTGCCTGAGTGAAATCACCCCTTGAGGTGAGATGTTCAGCGCCCAGACTCTCAGAATGGATATCTCTGCTTTCTGGAAACAGCTCCCAGCGGACAAAGACGCAGCTGTTCAAAGCTCCTCACACTGTTGGCGGCAGTGTGCAACAGAGAGCGCCCATAAAGAAATCAATGTCTCTGAGCTTTTGAAGCTTCACCGAGGATTCGTCTAACTGTCAGTTTATTCTTTAGTGCTGTGGCTCATAGTCAAGTGATAGATGGTGGTGATATCCTTTTATCAGTCTGTGAGTCACAGTCTTTACAGTTTTTTTTTGTTTGTTTTTTTTGCATGGAGGAAACAACATCTATTTGATGCTGGTTGCTGCTTTGTGAATACTTTATTGAACATGAGAGGCTGTTTTCTGTCAAGCACGCATCTGCTGTTTGCTTTTCCACCTTGCTAGCCAACCACTTTGTTATCGCTCAAAGCTAGCTAAACTGTCCCCTCTGTGCTCTCCGGGCGTGTTGACATTTTCAAGCCTCAAAGAGTCCCATGCGGGCAAAGCTGGTCACCAAGGAGACAATGCCTGAATATGTTCCCCAACAACTGAGGGTGGGGGCGGCTGCTGGTGGCTGAGGACTCAAGAGGAAATACAGATTGGCTTCCCATTTTTGTCATACTGGTACACCAACATCTTGATGCAGTGAGAGTTGGCTGGTGAGATCCAGGGGCTGCTTGTGATGGAAAAGTTGTGGCTAGCGTAGAATGGCGGCGGCTGCTTGCGGCAGTGGACCAGGGCGCGCAGCACGTTGGCTGCCATGCCCCGGAAACGCTTGCTTATGAAGCAGTAGAGGAAGAAGTTGACCCCGGTGTTAAGTAATGCTAGCATGTTTGCCAGATCGGTGAGCGCGTGGAGCAGTCGGCCGGCACCTTGTGAGGCTGGAGGTGGGGAGTAGAAGTGGTAGAGGATCATGAGGGTACGTGGCGCCCACAAAACAGCGAAAATGGAAGTGATGGCGAGGAGGATGGCGGTGGTCTTGCCGGTGGAGTAGCCGCGCAGACGGAAACAGCTGCGGCGTCTGCGCAGCTTGCGAACGATGACAGTGTTGAGGGAGAAGAAGACGGTGCAAGGGAGGAGGTAGACGGTGGCACAGTGGGCCCACACTAGAACATGCTGTGCCACAGTTCTCCTGTTGCCCTCCCCTCCTCCTCCGCCACCATTGCTCAACCCAGGCAGGCTGTGCCACAGCTCAGGCCACCAGTAATAAGGAGCTGCAGAGAGCAGGCACCCAATATACACAGCAAATATCACCCTTCGTGTGCGGGCCGGGTAGGAGACTGTGTGGTAGCGCAGCGGGTGGCAAACAGCGATGTAACGGTCAATGGTGAGAGGCACAGTGATCCAGATGGAGGTGTGGATGGAGGAGAACTCCAGAACCTGCACTGCGTTGTTCAGTGACGGAGGTAGCGGCGTGGCCAAAATAAAATCCTCCAATATGAAGTCGACAAAAACAATGAGGAGCAGGACCAGGATGTCGGCGGCTGCCAGAGCCAGGAGATAGTTGTAGGAGGACTTCTGACGTCGCAGCACCAGCTGGGACAGGATGACCACTGTCAGGATGTTAGCTGGGGGGAGGAAGGAGGGGAGGAAGGAGGGGAGGAAGGGATGTCGGAGGATGATTGAAAGTAGATAGGTGGAGGAAGATAGGGAAATGATAGAAAAAGTATGAGATTGGAAAAGGAATGGGCACAGGTTAGGGCAGGGAAGGAAACAGAAAAATTGAGTGTTAGTGGGCAGGTGATTGAAAAGAGGCAACAACAAACAGTAACAGAGATGCAGTGGATATGTACTGCCAGGTAACACACAATACAAACAAACAAAAATATATGAAACATTGTCAGCACCATCAGCAGCATCAAGCACACATTTTCTTTTAGTTTCATCCTGCAATATGCAAAGAAAACTCTGTTATCGCCCCCAGTCAGTATGTACCACGTTCAACCAGCTCTCCCACTGTGTAATCCCTCCTCTGTTTATTGCTCCCTTCCCTTTTTCCCTTCATCTACACCTGCTGTGTAATTCCAGCAGCACCTGCCTCTGCCTTTGGCCAAATTGTTATCTCTAATAAAGAGCAAAGCCACAACAAAAACAGGAGGGCAACGTGCAGCATCACAGCCTCGCCAATCTGCTGAGTTCGCTACTGCCTGCCACCGGCAATTTAGCTCCTAAAACAAAGCACAAGGACGCAACATCTCTCTCTGTCTGCCTCTGTTTTTTTTTGTAATCTTCACTCCATATCCCCGACATAAACCAACATATCTTCCCTTCCATGGTGCCAAATGAAATGTTTCCCTCACCACCTTCTTGTTTATCTATTCCAACTCTGTCACTTTCTTTCACAGGACAGCTGAATATCCCAGGAGAGCGCACCACTACTCTCTCATTTTTCGTTAAGAAGAACGTGGACACACAGGCCTGGATGTGATTTATCCCACTGCTGCTTTTACCAAAGAATGACCTCTGTGCGGCTGCATCAGGCAGGAGCAGCACAGCTCTCTGCCTCTCACGTGGAACTGCAGTTGGGTGACTGCGTTGAACAGGCTCATTACATGTCTTCTTTCTTTGTTGTCTATTCCCTGTTTCCGCCACGTGCGCGTATTATTCCCTGGTGATTCCCATCATCAGGCAGTCGAGTTTACAGGTTGTGAGTATGCTCAGATGTTTCCCAAATTTAGAGGAGACAGCAAACAAGATGCTGGCTTTGCTTACACTGTAGTGTACTGAAAGTAGCCTGCTACCTTTTACACTGTGATGTTGAGAAAATAAAATCAGTTAAAGGGTCAGTGTATAAGATATAGGGGGATATAGCGGCATCTAGTGGTAAGGACTAGAGATTGCAACCAGCTGAAATGTCTCCTGGTTAGAATTCTTTCATTGCCCAGGAGGTTTTCAGAAGGTCTCTTCCTCTCCAAAACAAACAGACCCAATGATTTAAACTGGTGGAAACAGAATAAAGCAGTTTCATGTTACAAATTCATGTATGTTTTTTTTAATGTAATAACTTATGATTTTCAGAAAGTTTTCACCGGGAGTCGAATTATCTGCAGAGGTCTCTTCCTCTCCAAAACAAACCGACCCGGTGATTTAAACTGGTAACAACACCGAATAAAGCAGTTACACATTACAAATTCATGTATTTCTGACGCAACATGCTAGTGTGTGGTCACTTTTTTTCTTCTATAACACAAGATCCAGACGTTCAGGAGGTTTTAACTGGAAGCAGAATTATCCACAAAGGACTCTTCCTGTTAAAAACAAATGGACTAGGTGATTCAAACCAATAGAAACACTGAATAAAGCAGAGTCATGTTACAAATTGGTGTAACTCCAGTGTTGCTCAGTGCAGTTGGAGTTACCACGGTGGCTGATGCCAAACGCAAAAATGCGACAACGTGAATGGCCCTTTCTGAAGCCAGTGTTTGGTTTGTCCGTTCTGGGCTATTATCAGGAGTCTTATTGCACAGAGCACCTTTAAAGCCACAGTGTGTAGGAATTTCTCCCATCTAATGTTGCAATCATATATTGTATTCAAACAGATGGCGCACTCTAGCGCCTCACTGTTTCAAACACATATTGCAACAACTGTAGCCGCTGTGTACCAAAAAGCTATGATAACACTGATGAAACCATGTCATCCGATACTACATGGAGTATTCATTCAGGCTCCTACACAGACACACGCGATGCGAGTTGACAAACCCCCTCCTCACCATGCTGGCTGTGTTTACAACGTAGGACTGTTGGGGCGGATGTAAATTGAAACAAACCAATCACGTCTTGTCCTTTGACAACTGACAAGTGGCTCAACCTCACACACCTCATCCCTCTCCTCGCATTACTGCGCCGCTAACAGCTGTTAGTGGCCAGCGACACTACTGCCGCATAACAAAGTCCCACTCTTTGAGCATAATGCAGGATCATGTATTATGCAACATCACGGGAGACGGAATCCTCGTCGCCAAGAAAGTGCAAAAGGGAATCAAAAAGGCAGCATGACCGGCGAATTAAAAAAACAAGGGTCAGCATTGGGGTTGCCTTTCCCAGGTGGAGAGAGCTGAAGGAGAAAGGTAATACAATCACAGGCCAGCGCTAACAGCGGCTAACAGCAGCTAACAGCTAACAGCGGCGCAATGATGCGAGGAGAGGGATGAGGCTGTTAGCGACTGGCCGCTAACAGTGGCTAACAGCCAACAGCGGCGCTGGCCTGTGATTGTATTACCAATCTCCCTCAGCAGCTCTCTCTACCTGGGAAAGACTACCCCGATGTGGGCCTTCGTTTTTTTAATTCGCCGGTCACGCTGCCTTTTCTATTCCCTTTTGCGCTTTCTTGGCAACAAGGATTCCGTCTCCCATGATGCTGCATATGCATGATCCTGCATTATGCTCAAAGAGTGGGACTTTGTTTCAAATTTGCCAGGGTAGTAGCGAAGCGCCTCTTGCTCCTCTCCTTCGGCTCCTCAGTCACGCAGTGCTGGCCTGGCTCTCAACGAAAACGCCGAAGGCGGTGCTGTATGTCCCTTGTTGGCGGGTGTATTCTCAAGATGGCGAAACGTAATGGAACCCCACAGACGACCCACACAATGTACAAACAAATCCGAAATTCTCCTTTTACGAGAATAAGTCAGATTATTGGTGGAGGTAATAGTACACCAGTGATGACATATTTATGAATGCAGACATCAATTTTTGCCAATAAACAACTGAAAATGTTACACAATGTCCCTTTAACAAACCTTAAATTAAGGTTATTTTAAATGAACTTCTATACACAAGATTGAGTTCCTGAAAAGCTGATATTGACAGTTGGAAATAAATGGTTTTATCTTGAAGCAGTAATATGGGATATGTGTTTTTAGGATGATTTTCCATTTGTCTAAGATAATCCTGGATATCGTCTTATATGGACCCAATGACAAAGTTTCTTAACAATAACTTCCGGGACGAAAACCCCAGCCTCAGGTACATAAAATGAAATGCTACTGACTAACTGCATAGCATGCTATATATACTATCACCTGTTGTTATTAAAATAACTTCACTGACTTTTGGTTTCACACAGGAAGTGAGTTTGTTTGATGAGCTATAGTATTAAGATATTCCTATTTATTTAAGTAGACGCTTGTGTGTTCATTCAATACAATGGTGACATGGAGTGTAAAATTCAAAGGTGTTATTTGAGAAAATTAATGCTTTTCTGATGTGTCCAAAGAGTCCTGTTTCATGCTGTACTACTTTAATTTATTAACTAACAAAACACACACACACACACACACACACACACACACACCAATGTATCCATCCTTTTGTTCTGTTGCTAACCAATCTCATTTGGTGAAACTTGCTGGTGCAGCATGAAGACATGTCCCATCTGTTTCCTTGGATGAAGATGCCTCTGACATTGATTCGCATGCAGCATCACTGAGACATCAATGCATTTAGCAGCTGTCACCGTCCATACAGTATCTGTGTGTGCGTGTGTTCTGTGGTCCTGTCCCTCTCTGCAGTAATAGATCTGGGATTGGATTAAATATGGCAGTCTGGTACATCACACTTCACAGCCTCAGCCACTATCAGCTGATTACAAATTACAAAGCCGGCTCCAGCTAATGACTAAAGATGTCCTTGCCAGACTGGAGGATGTGCAGCAGAAGACACGCGCGCACACACATACAAACACACATTTACACATGTCTGCACATGCACACAAATCATTAGGGATGCGCCGATACATTAAGGCACAATCTATCAATAAACATAAAATGAGACGTCAAAGCAGTTTACAAGACTCGACAAGCCAATATATGTGTACACGTAGGGCTGCTGGATTGCACGACAACCCCCACCATCACACTCACCACCGCTTGTGCATCACACCAACCTCTGCAGAGGCAAGTTAAATTGCTTTCATGTTGAATCTTGGTTGATTGTGTTATTGATTCCTTGTTTTCAGCTACTAATCTTCTCCTGTCTGTCTGTCTGTCTGTCTGTTTCTTCTTCTCTCCTGGTGGTCAGTTTGGTCCACAATCACTGCGCATTAATCCAGAATACATAAAATTTTAGGTTTACCCTGGACCCAAGGATATGGATCCTCACATTAAGCAGCATGAGGTTTTTAATAACCTTCAGCGTAATAATTGCAGGTTCTTTAAGACTGATTTTGTATTTGTAATTTGTCTTTAAAATTTGTCATCTAAATATAGATGTGGGATATTAATGTCACCATGTTCCAACACTGTGTACTTTATGTTTTTCAGTGATGAGCATTACTGTACATTGGTTTGACCAAATTACAGCAATTAAAGAAAGTTAAAGGGAAACTCCACTGATTTTAGGCTACGCATCAAAGTCCAGCCCGCTCTCACTGAAAAAAACGACCACATAGGTCGAGTGAGTTGGCAGCTTATTACGACCCGTACTTAGGTTTATTGTAAGACGGCACCCTTTAGTGGTGATAGTAATTTTTACAGGAGCAGAGAAGGAACTGATGTGACGTAGCATAAAAAGCAACAAAGTCCGCACAATGATGTACAAATATCGAAGTAGCCCCTATAAGGTGAGCAGGAGG